AGAAAGGAGGTTATCAATAAAGAACGCTCTTGCGCGTTTTGTTGGAGGAATATAGTCCATTATTGAATAAAAAATCCTATGAAAAAAGAGCTCCTATGAAAAAAGAGCAAAAATTTATGGGGAGCAAAAAGAGCTCCTATTAAAAGTAAATTGAGGAGCAAATGCAATTAATAAATATTTTAAATTATTTAGATTTTTTTAAAGTGAGTACAAATGAGAAATAAATTTTAAAAATCGTTGTATTTATATGAAATATTTTGGAAAACTTTTTATAGGCGGCAACTTCAAAGAGGTTTTAAAACATTAATTTGCATAAATTTAAGAAAAATAAGTTTTAATTTTAAAATATAGACGGCATCTTCAAAGAGGTTTTAAAACATTAATTTGCATAAATTTAAGAAAAATAAGTTTTAATTTTAAAATATAGGCGGCATCTTCAAAGAGTTTTTAAAACAAAAATTTGCATAAATTTAAAATATCGGTAACATCAAAGAGAAAATTTTAAAAAATTTTGAAATTTTTGAAGGATTAAGGTCAAATTTTAATTAAGGTCAAGGTCAATTATATTTCTGAAAACGAAAGTATTAAAAACAAAGAACAAATTTTGGGGGCTCAAAAAAATTGGGGATTGAAAATACAGAATTTTAATATTTTAATAAATTATCAGCTATCACTTTAATTAACGTAATCAGTAACAAATCATTATTAACATACAAAACATAATAATCACCGATTAGGGTAATCACATTTAGTAACATCTAGGGAAATTACCTCAATAACTTCTAGGGTAATCACATGATTATGGGTCTGTTTACAATGTGTTACCTAGTAATATACACACATCATCACGCTCGACAGTGGAGACTTTCTTTTGGTTGACCACTCATTATCTCTTACCCCTCCTCCCTCGCGACAGTGCCCACTCCCTTATCTTTACCGCTACATGCCCTCTCCCTTTTATCGGACCCCTCCACCCCGCGACAGTGCCCACTCCCTTTGAACATTGCCGCGGCATGCTCTCTCCCTTTTGGTTTTGTCGGACCCCTCCACCACTTGACGGGTAGTGGATTAGTAAAAAGCCGCGACGGTGACTGGCTGTTAACTACTTCAAGAATTAGTAAATTCCCCGTTCGTCTACTCCCACAACATCTTATCCCATCATATTTTTTAATTTTTTATAAAAAATTTTCTCCTCCATCGAATATTATAAAAACACTTCAAAAAGTTTATTTAATTGCCAGACCCTGTATATGTAGTAGATAAATTTTAAGACTCTTTTGTATAGGGTCACAACTTTTTACCAAACTACAAATTTTCACAATATTTAGAGGTATTATTACCCTTTATTTGAATAATAATAAAAATGATTACGTAAATACTTGTGTGATTCATTCAATTTACATCAATTGGCCACACCTGCCCTTCCCCTTTTGACAAAAAAATTTGAAAAAAAATTTTTTAATCCTTTTTCCAATAAAAAGTTTTTAATATAAAAACGCTTAGAATAACAAACATTTTTCAAAAACAAAAATTAAAAATAAAATAAAATAATCAAATAAAAATTCCCCTCCCCCCAAAAAATGTCCAAAATATTTTTCTCCCTTTTTTTATTTGTTTCCTTTTTTTCTTTAACAATTTCCTTTGGATTTGGCGGTCCAAGAGGCAATATCCTTAAATTACTACCTCCTTTTATTGGAAATATTACTCGAGAACAAATTAGAGAATATAATGAAATTGTGGGAAATATAACTGCGACAAAGGCGGAGATTAAAAGTGAATTGCAGAATTGGGCACAGAATAATGGAATTTTGGTGAAAAATTGTTTTGAATTATTTTAGTTTGAAATTTTGATCGTTTGGGATTAGGTTAGGCTCCAAATATGTTCTGGTTGAAAAGTGGGATCCGGGGTTGTAGGAAAGATATGTATTATTTTGACAAGTATGGTCTGGATCTCACACTAATTGAATCCCACCTGATTCTTAAAAATTTGTGTTTCCGATGTTTACGGAAAATAACAGATTTACCATTAAAACATTCATTTTTAAGCAACCCTACAATAATTTCACTTCACAATTGCAACGAGATGCTGAACAATTCCATGACAGAGTTGTCCAAAACCTGACAGGGGAAGCCTTGACGTTATTTAACCAAATTTGGGTTAGTTACAGATAAAATTAAATTTGACTAAATTACAAAAATATTTTTATGTAACCCTTCATTATTTCAAAATTCTAATTGTAAAGTTACTCAACCCCCCCCCCCCTTCCCCAATTTCTTATCTTCCAGCGTATTCGTCAAGATGATACCATAACTCGTTTGGCCGAATGTCAACAAATTAAAAACGCATATAAGCAAGCCTCCCCCGTTGTTCGTCAACAAGTGCCGTTTATTCTTCCTTCAATTTTGGGCCCACCACCGCGTGGATGTTGCTTTCCCCGTCCTTCTTCTCATTCTAACAGCAGTGAACAACAACCAACAGACAACACTCTGGATGATCAACAACAGGATAGTGAAGATAATTGAGGATAGAATGATTGTGTAAAGGTGAATAAAAAAACAAGAATGAACGCATAAGAATACAATTTGCTGATAATAAAAATCAAATATTGACGGACATACTGTCAAAGTTCTTTTTATAAAATGATTAATCATTCCTCGAATTATTTATTAATATATCCGGAATATTTAAAAATTTATTTGTAATACAAAGACGTAGATTAATAATAGCAGGTAATTATTATATCACATTTATTCGTTTTATCCGTTTACAAATTAATAGTCCAGACATATATGTAGGTCAGGGTGGCCCTTTCCAAAACACTAAAATAGGGCGCAGCCACTCAAAAATAGGGCAAAAATAGGGCGAAATCGGCCAAAAATAGGGCAAAAAATAGGGCATTATTTAAAAATATTAAAAATAATTGAAATTTCAATTAAAAAGCTTTATTCTAAATTTTTTAACTAGGTTTAACTAAATTGAGCAAATGGAGGGATATAGGGGATTTTGAGCAATTATTAATGGAATTGGGGTTAACAGAGTTATCTAGGGGATTTAGGATCAAAAAAGTTATCTAAAATGGATAAATGGTTAGAAACTTGTAGTTTTCTAGAGATTTGTGAGGATTCAGTGGATTTGGGGGTAGTAGAAACTTCGAGTATTTTCTACGTCCAATTTTGGTGGATTAAGTGTTGGTATTGGGGGATTAAAAGAGATATCGAGGCAATTGTGGATTAATCCCCGATGTCCCTTCATATACTCTTAATTATTATAAATTACATTATATCCAACTTAGTCTTTCATCCACCTTAATCCTCGCATGCACCATTAATCTCTCAAATCCATTGATATCTCTCTTTATCATACAAATCCCTCGTTATCCAGTCAGACCTCCATAATCCTAGTAAATCCTCTTAAATCGTCTATAGTAAAATCCGCCTATATTCCACTCAAGTCCTTCTAATCCCTCAATTTCATACAAAGTCTTCACAGATTCTTCCTTTTTCAGCGCCGCAGGCAAAAATTTAGAGAATTTTGTAAGGCCAAGAAGCCAGATTTCTTCCGTTTTTGCGCCGCAGGCGAAAATTTTAGGAATTTTGGAAGGCCGTGAAGCCAGATTTCTTACTTTTTCTGTCATTTCATTTACGAAATTCTAAAATTGTAAAAATTTTACAAAATGGTAAAAATAGGGCAAAAATATGGCAAATGTAAAAATAGGGAAAAAATAGGGCGGAAAGGTCGAAAATAGGGCAAATGCCCTGTAAATAGGGCAAAAGGGCCACCCTGATGTAGGTTGGCTAGTTAATATGTACATAAATACTTTAGGGATAATTCATCGGAAGCCTTTATCAAACTTAAAGAAGAATAGAGCAAAAGTTTTGTTTCCGTAGATTGGTGGCAGAGCACCAGCGACTACAGGGTGCGTTTACGCACCCTGTATATGCGAAGTTCAACATGCACATTAAAAGGTCTTATTCGATGAGACCTTTTAGGGTCTATTGAACACGAGGTCTCATGTTCCAATCACTAAACTTTTGCTCTAATCTTAATATAAAATTGTTCGGTGTAGAAATAATGAATAAAATATAAAACATTATACATAGAGGTGACAATTTTTACAGTTAAATACTTATAAATTTTAAATTATTTATTTAAAGAACTGTTTAACTTTTTTTGATTAAAATAATTTCCTTTGTTTTATTTGGCAATTGTTTTGTTGTTCCATTAATTCCTTTATCGCGAACTCCTCCACTATTATTAAATAGAGCAGGCATGACGGAAATTACATTTTTAGGACTTGATTTTTTGCAAAAAAGATTTCTTAATTGTTTGTTGAAAGCTTCACGATAGAATGAACTTAAATAAATTTAAGAATTATTTTGATTAATTTAAATTTATTTTCCTGAAGAGAGATATATATTTGACAGACAGAATTTTTCTGATCTTTAGTATACCGTATCTTCTCGATTAATTCCCCTCCCACGAATAATTCCCCCTCTCGATTAATTCCCCATGCTAGTTTTGGGTTGAAACAATAATTCCCCACCTCCAAATACCCTACTGCACGTTCAAATGCCAAAACTCGAATAATTTCCCTGCCTTGATTAATTCCATGCCAAGGAAGCGTTGAAAAAATAATTCCCCAGGGGACTTAATCGAGAAAATACGATAAGCCTGTTTTCTTTTCTTAAAATTAACCTAAAAATATAAAGTATTGGAGTCTCAGCAGAAGCGCCAATATTTAGAAGAATCCCTCCAAACTCATTAACTGACCAAATCTGAAAATATTATTTAAATTTTACTTTCCAAAATTTTATTTTCTACTTGTATATCATTTAAATTGAAGAAATGATCAACAATTATTTTACATATATTGTTTATTACATAGCCTCCAATAACTATTGAGACGATTAAAATTAGAGATTTTAGAAGACGTGATTGAGTATCTGATTGAGTACCCGCATGATTATTTGCTAAAGATTAATATGAAGAAGAAAACTTTTTAGTTTTCCGAACCTGAATGAAACCACCTTACGACAATCCAAACAAATAAATATAATAAAGCATTAATTGCACATAAAAGCATAATAAAACTATAAATTATTTCCATATCCAAAACTAACAGATCCGCAAGAGATCCAGTAACTGGAAGTGTCGGATATTTATTTGATAAATTAATCGCGTTTATTGCCATCCAAATACCGCTAATAAAAGCCAAAATTGTATGAATTGTGAGGTAAAGACGAATATTTAATTTATAATATAAGTATTTTAGTGGAAATAGAACAGATAAAAGTCTGTCAGCAGCAGTTGAAGCCATGGAAGTCTGTGCTGCTGTTACTCCAAAAATTGAATGTAATTGGAATAATAAAGCTGTAGAATAATTAATGAAATTGATGCCACTAACTGTTATAAACAAAAATAGGAAATGGGTTAATAAAAATATTAGAGTTAAGTTAATAAAAATATTAGAAATATTTTAATTTATATTAGAAATATTTCAAAGAAAGCAGTTAAAGCCAATAAATAATTAGCTGATCCTCTCAATTTACTTAAAATTTATTTTTTTTAATTAAAATATTTCTAATATTTTTATTAACTTGTTTTGTATTGTTACAAAAATTAAAAGCAAATTTGCAGCAATTCCAGGTATTCCAGCAACATTCAACAATACAGCAGGAATAACTAATGCAGAACATGTGCCAACATCTTTATATTGACTATATAGCTATAATTAAGAATAATTAAGATAAGTGAGTTTATAAGAAAGTTTTTTTCTTTTTTAATCTCGATGAATAACCCAATAGATTTCTTTTACTCCACTCTCACTATTTATGTCTCCGATTAATTTCTTGTTAAATGGACAGGAATTAGTGAAGGTAATTTAGAAGGAAGTATGTAATCTACAACTTTATGGCAATCATTACCCAGCTTGCATTTTGGAACTTATGTTTTGGTATTGTGCATATGTACCATGACTCGGTGTGTTTATATCTAATCTATTCCCATGACCTATTGAAATAGAAGTCGTGGTAACACACACACATTACCCCTATCATTGGCTCTAATTGCAAAACTTTTGACTTTTAGAGATCCTAAATATTAAGAAACATATTTAAATTTAATTATTCACCATATGATTTGGAAAAGTATTATTTAATAAAATATTTGTTTGATTACTAGAAGTTTCCATTATTTTAATTATTTGTAAATTTAAATTTTCAAAAATAAATTTAAAAATGAAATTAATAAAATAAAATGCTTACATTAAGCAGGTGTGTGAATAAGGAAGTTAAATACTATTTTAAACTTTTAATACACAAGTGGTTTTACGCAATTATTTTCGTTGAAATTTACAATATTGCTTAAATTAAACAGGTGTGTGAATAAGGAAATGAAATACTACAATTTGAATTTTTTAATACATCAGTGTTAAAATTTACTTCAAGTCAAAAAAAGAAACAAAAAAATTATAATTAAAATAAAAAGTATAAAATAAATGCAAAAATTAATTAAAAACTGAAAAATTTTAAACTGAAAAAGACATTTATAAAATGGTGTACGAGAGTCTAAGAATAAATGTGAAATCCGAAATGCGATACTTTTTTTTGAAACAATTGGCAGCATTAGCTTTGCCGAGGGTACTATAGGGTCTTGGCCGTGGTCTGATATAAAATAGTATGAAAAAATTTGTTAAGAAAAGGAAAAAAAGTAAAATTATTTTGCATACAACATTTTAAATTCTCAAAATTGGCTTAAGGATTCTCCAAAATTCTAAAAATTTTCGCCTGCGGCGCTAGTTTGAAGAAGCCTGGATACTACCACTATAGCTCCAATTCCTTAGAGTTCAAGCAAAAGTTCCGACTGAGCCCTAACAAAACAAAAATTTATTTTCCAATTTTTTTTATTAAAAAATCTTTTTCCGATTTTCGTTTTTCGATTTCTGATTTTCGAGGTTATTTTTCTTTCGATTTTCGAAGATTTTTTTGTTTCGAAACATCTATGGATATGATTTTTTTAAACAAAGTTACTAGTAAATTCTTCGAACTTGTCACTTATTTAGTCTTTAATATTTTCAAGCATTTTTTATTAAATCAAATATAACTTTAATCAGTTAAACTTTAAAAAGATTTTGGAAATAATGATTGCTTTCATAAAATAATTCAATTTTTAATATTCATTAAGTAAATCTTCTTCTAAATTGTGGTTGCATATAATTATTTTCGGATAGTGGCACAAAATATTTTTGTGTTTCTATTTTCCTTCCAAATTTGGGCAGACCATAACCAACATCTCCAAATGTTAGTAAAGTCTTTCTTGGCTCATTCTATAATAAAATATTTTTGAATAATTGATATTGGGATGAAATTTTATTGTTGATTTTAAAATGAAAATTTCGAATTTTTCACTCTTAGTTTCACTTTCCATCCGAGTTGGCGCCCAACTCTCTCTAGAAAATGTCTTGTAAAGAGTTTTCGGGACCTACGTCCACTTTGTCTTTAACTTGCCTCAATAGTTCTTCCACTTGCACGCATTGAATAAGTTGGATTGTTGAATAATATTAAAAAGTTGAAAATTAAAATAACTGAAGTTATAAAAGAATAATTTAAAGTTGGCAACATTCTTTTAAAGATTTGTTTAATATATTTCAGAAATCTATTATATTAATTTTATTTTTTTTTAATTTCTATTTTAAACAATGCAAATGAATTACGGCTACAACTTTTGGTATATTAGATTCGGATCATATCAGATAGGCTAATAAAAATATGTGTTTCGGACCTATTCCACTTGGTCTGGGACCGTTCCTTGCCCTATTTCCTCTCAATTTTTGAAAGTTATTGCCAATTTTTTAAAATTTCAGAAAAACAATTTTAACTTTCTGAAATTTCAAGGAATAGGGTAACGAACGGTCCTAGATCATGTGGGCGTAGGTCGAACATGAAGAAATGTTAGGAACGCATCCCCAACTATTAGACCTAAGAAAAATTGATATTTTAAGAATGAATGTAATTAAGCCGGCCAAATAACCAAATTTAGTCTGCTAATAGAAAAAGCCTACAATTTCTAGTAGCTCTTTAAAACAACAATTTTAAATACACATTCAATGAGCTTCTACATATTGTTTAATTATAGAATTATTTTATTAAAATAATTTTTCCGGTTAAACAACAATAAAAATATTTCTTAACTGTCGGGAATGTGAAAAATAAAAGTATTATTATATTCACGTGTTTTGTAAATTTTGAAAAAATTTTTCATTGAAATTTTTAAAATTAAATTTTGACAAAAAATTTTTTTTATTTATTTTGACGTTAAAGTGCAATGCCAATTTTTAAATAAACAATACACTTTAAATTATAAAAGAAATAAATGCACTTTAAAATAAATAAAAATTTCTCACATATATTTTTATTATTATTTTCTCAGACGCCATTTTCACTTCCCGGAATAACAAATTTCGCAACTTACTTAATTAGACTTTGTGTTTAAAATAGGTGAATATAAGCGCTTAATTATTTAATTAACAATTCATATTTTAACTTTTATTTAATTTTGAATTACCCTTCTTGTATTCCAATAAGAATCTTTAAATAAGATTCCAATAGGAATCTTCGCGATACTGGCTTATATTAAAAGAATCTCTAAATAATAGCACTATCAGGCCAACTTTAACCGTCGTAAGAAGGAATTGGATTGGGGGTGGGAACATCAAATATGGGGATTTTTGGAGTGGGGACGTTTTCTTGCCCAAAGGCATAAGTAAATTTCTTGGAGGTGATGAGCTATGATGTGGGCATGACTTGGGAGGGAATGTAAATTATTTTTTACGTTATAATACAAATATTCTTTAATGCCATCAAATTATATTTACATTTTCTTGAATATATTTTTTTTATAATTTTGCCAGAATAAATAAAACTTTAATATAAAAAAGCAACAAAAATGAATTATTTAAAGCTTTCATTCTCGGCAATTATGTTAATTGAGTGGGCGATTATTATGGGCACGCAAGGGTCTCCCTTTTTAAATACAAACAAACATGGTGCTCTGCAAGTCGAATCTGGAAGTGGGGGAAATTATAGTTGGACAATTTTTTGTATGTTACTTAAAATAAAGCTGTAAAAATTAAATTTTAAATTTAGGTTTTTTGTTCTTAACTCTACCCTCATTTCTCAGTTTACTCTTTTTAATATAAAGTAAACCCTACTAACCGCAGTCCAAATCACTATACGAATGATTCTAGTGACTAGATTAAACACACTACATTTAATTCCGTCCAGCAGTCGAATCTCTTTATAGTATTTATACTCACAATGTGGTTGAATACTAGTTAGAGGAGTCCGGAACGATACCTACACTTTTGTTTAAACTATAATTTTTTTCAGTTTAAAGGGCGTCTACTATACATAATAATATTCAATTATTTTAAGTAATCATATTTAAAATTAATACAAAATTTAAAATTAAAGCTCTCCTTCTAATGCGTTTTCATCGAGCTCCAATAGTACTTCGTCTTAAAATGGCTCAGAGCCCTCCAAAGCCAATAGACGATCCTCAACGAGAAGAAAAGTTATTACAAAATATTTTGAGAAAAAATAGAGAATTACAAAATGGAATATTGGATGAAAATTTGATTATTAATTTTTTTGTTTCTCAAATTGAAGCTGGAAAAATGCTTCAACGGGAATTGATTTTACCAGAAAATAAAAAAGGTGGAAACATTTTTTGTTATTTTTAAATCAAGTCATAAGATATGTTTTATAGACAGCTTCATTGTTTATCCGACATAATATTTTTGTCGATAGGTTCCATAAACTGAACTTCGGTAAAAATTCATAAGAGTATTTTTATAATGTAAACATTTGGAAAGACAAACTGGAAACATTTTTGTTAGCAAAAAATTACAAAATTATTTATTATTATCTTAAATTCTTCTAATTTTAGAGCTTGAAAGTATCAGCACTAAGGATTATTCATCTTTGGATGCTGTTCGCGATGATATTAATATTCTCGATGAAAGTATTTTAAATGAATTGGCAAACACTCTAATTAATCAAAATATTCATTCAAAAAAAGAATGTTTAAAAAGTAAAAATGAGACATTGAAAAATGAATGGAGTAGATCTAATGAATTTAATAAAAAGGGAGGAAATGCTGTCAATGTTGAATTTGTTAGAATGAAAGCTTTAAAAGATTGTCTTGAAAAACTCTGTGATTTATTTAATTAATAAATTATTTTAAAAAATGTAAATTAATTTTAATTTACTAATTTTTTAATACTCTTTTTACCCTTTATTATTCAAACCTTTCAAAAAATAAGTCCAGCCTTCCTATTAACAGCCAGATCGTTTACACTTTGAGTTGTTCCTATTAGTTATACATGTACTTTTATAAAAGTACTTGTACTCTTTTACCCTAGTCTTTTACTTGTTAAATTTTCATATATTTTTCTACAACATATATTTGAAATTGAAATTAATTGAATAAATTTTTCTTCTTAAAATCCTTATTTGTGTTTGAGTCTAGGGTTAGTGAGTAAATATATATTGCCACATTTGGCACATTTATTATATAAATTAATGTTGTTTGTTCTAGACATGATATCAATTACATAATCGCGGTTCATCGCTTGGTTCAGCGCTAATCGCGGTTCAGCGCTTGGAAAAATTCCGTCACATGTCCCGGAAACCGATGGATGGCCAAGTGGCCAGATTTCTTTTATTTTGGAAATAAAATTAGGAATCCAAAATTGTTCAATTTTTAGGGGGTGTGAATTTAAAAAAGCTCAAAAAAGTCGAGAAAACAAAAAAAACTACTCAAAAACTACACCCCAAGACCAAGTCCGAAAAAAAACCATGAAAAGTGGCTGCTAAAGGTACAGGCCAAGTTGATCTGGGTCAATAAGTGGGCACGGAGGTGCTTTAACTACTCTCGTGTCACTAAAAATGCCGTAATTCGTAATTATGACGCAACTCTGATGGTTGTGTCAATCCATTTAGGATAAACATTTGGAGTTATAATAAAAAGCATTTTGAAAATTTTATTTTGTATTTTATAAAAATTAGAAAAAAAGTGTATGGGAATTAACATTTATTTATCACTGCCAGAGCTGTGCGAAAATTTTCGTCTCGTTTTCGTTTCGTAGATGATGAAATTTTATTTTCGCTCAGCTCTGATCCATTTTCACTTCCTCATATTAAATTCTTGTCTGCTTTGCTAAAGTTTTTATTAAGGACCTTCTTTTTTAAAATTGACTATTTCGTTATTTGCCTCGACAAACTTCATTCTTTCACGTGTCATTCCATCCTCATCCAAATAAAATTCGTAACTTCCTTCGTTAATTAATGGATAAATTGAGCCAACAAACTCCGCATCGGGGTATTTATCATAATAACCTTTATTATATACATTCATTTGACCATCTTCAATATCATCTACATTAGTTTTGAATGCAGCTATTGTAATAGAATATCTCAAATCTTTCAATATTCTTTTTGTCAAATAAGAAATTTCACTGAACAATTTGAACACACATCTTTCCTCTCTTGCTTTTTTTATTTTAACGTAGAATTCAAGCCAACATATTTTAATATTTCCAAGAACAACAATAAAATAATTTCCTGGATTTTCAAATTTTAGGCAAAGTTCAATGTGAGAATATTCAATATTCTCTTGCTGTCTTTTACCCTTTAATGAAGTTGCCTCAATTAAATTAGCTTTGCTAAAATTTTCTCTTTTTAAAATTTTTCTAGTCTCTTCCACATTCAAAAAACTTATTAATTTTGTCAATTTAGTAGGATTAGAACTAAATGCTGTCCAAAAAGTTGCATTTATTCCGTTTATGTTTATTTCTATACCAGGGGCACGAAAAGCATTTGTTATAATCTCATCAGACAGATTATCTACCTCAAAATCTATCTTTGCATAAAACATAGGCAATACAGACATTAATTTCTTAAAGTAAGGATTGAAAAATGGTTAAAAGATTAATAATTGACAATAATTAATTAATTTAAATAAAGAGACTGATGACGGAAAAAGGGAGAGTAATTCCGATGGTAAACCTAGGCTACGTAAATAAACAAATATTTTACAATATTTATTTCCAAAAGGAATATTAACAATTTAAATTAATAGAGAAGAGTTTAATAAGCAGAATTATGGGATAAGAAAAAAGTGTTCAGCCAATGCAAGGCTGTTGGGAACAAAGAGCAATGGGAAGTCAGCTAGTGCGATTACTAGGCTGTAAGAAAAGAATGAACACAAAAGAACTGAAAAAAGAGTTTATAGGAAATGTTTATATAAGGAAGTTTTATCTCTTTAATCTTAGGAATGGTTTGGAAAAAGTATTTTTTATAAACGACCGGAAAGGAAAATAAATATGATTAATTGGGAAAATTATTCGCAACGCGACACTGAGAAAGCGTTAATTTATTTTTTAAAAGTACCTTTCTTCTTATCTTCTTACGATCAGTATATTCTTTTACACAAATATCTATTCTTTCGACTATAGAATCATAGAAGAGATCTTCAATCAAAATTAATTTTCTTCCTTCATTTCCAGTAGTTTTACTTTTAATTTTGTGTTCTGTTTCGTCAAAGATATTACACTCGTCTAAAGTAAAATTGAACTTCGCCCCTTCCCTACCCTCCTTTTTCCTTCCACAAAGTGGAAGAGTGATCAAACTTAAAATGTTTTATGTCGAACCAGTTCTACTTTTTAGAACCCATGCCAACGTTGGGTGGGTGTAACGTTGGGTGGGTGTGTTTTTAAAATATCCCATAATTTGTTAGTTCCATGAGTTGGTCGTTCCTTGACTTGTCTGTTCTTGAGTTGGTATTTCTTGAGTTAGCCCACACTCGATTGAAACACATACCTATCAAGACGACCATTTTTGCATTTATTGGAACAAAAGGGGAGGGGGTACGAATTTCAAATTTACAAGCGTCTGGATCCGAACTTGAACTTGTATAAACAAAATCATTTTCATTTTTTTCATCAATTTCATATAAAATTCCAATTTTAAATTCTTCTTCAATTTTATTTACTTCCATTCTCAACAATTTTATTTTAACACTTCCATCCTCGTTTTTATTATTTTTTGTAGATTTAACCAAAATCCGTTGATTATTTTTTAGAATTAAAGGAGAAAGAGAAGAAAATAATGAATAAAATAAAAGGAAAAAAATTTTAATTTTCATTGAAAATATTTTTTAAATAAATTTAAATTAGCTTTATGACTGGTCTAAGGTATTTTTATAAGGACCTTATTATTGTCTAACTCTCATAGCAGAGTTGCATCATAATCGAAAATTTTTTTCGTAATCGTAATTCGTAATTTAAAAAAAATAAGTATTCGTAATTTGTAACTCAAAAAATGCCTTAATTCGTAATTTGTAAATTATAAAAAATATTTAAATTAATTTAAAAAAATCGAATATTTATTAATAATTTATGCTTCTCCCATTAATCTCTCCAAGTCCTCTTATTTCTCTGATATTACTTCACATCCCAATTACCGTATTTTTTGTATTAGAGCCCCATGGGGCTCTATTTTTCAACTATCCTTCAAAGTGGGGCTTTATTACAACGTGGGGCTCTAATAGAGCGTGGGGCTCTATTTTTCAACCAATTTTTGAAAATATATAAGGGAATTTTCAATTATAAGTAAGGAAGTGATATGTATGCAACTGCCTATTTTTTACTCAAATGGTGAAATTTGTCACAAAAACAAATTTCACCATTGTGATATTTCTAAAGTTAATAGTTAGCGTGTACAGTATGGCACGATTATTTGGATTTGAGGTGGATTTAAAGCCGAATTTTAATTTGTGGATGGTTCGAATCCTATCGAGCCTTTGAAGGTTCGATTATATTTTGCTTCAGTCCGCACGGTCACTACGTGTATATATCTCGGTTCAGTCCCAATTGAAGAATATAGATGGGATTAAGGTGATTAAGAAGATATTTGGAGATTAATAAGGATATCGAGTGATTTTGAGAGTATAAATGATTTGGGGATTAATCGGATAGCGGAGGATTTCTGAGATGAATCTGCTGATAACTAGGCTGATCTCGCCAATATCTATGCTTGCCAGTATATAAAAGAATCTCTGATATCTCTTATAACATCCAAATCCCTCTATTGTAGAGGATTTGGAGCAGCTTAAGGTGTTTTTATCCCCAAATATTCTCTTAATCACATATAATATCTAAATTTGGCACAGAACATTAGATAAAAGGAAAAAAAACAGTATAGTTATTAAAAAATAATAATTTATTATACAATAGGTAAATTTTAGAAAATAGGGCTCTATTTCAGCGTGGGGCTCTAATACAGCGTGGGGCTCTATTTTTCAACTATCCTTGAAAGTGGGGCTTTATTACAGCGTGGGGCTCTAATTCAACGTGGGGCTCTAATACAAAAAATACGGTAATTCAGGGTGGCCCCTTCCAAAAACTAAAATAGGGCGCAGCAACTCAAAAATAGGGCAAAAATAGGGAGAAATTGGCCAAAAATGGGGCAAAAATTAGGGCATAGCTTTAAAAGCTTAAGCATAATTAAAATTTCAAATAAGGCGAAATTTTTGAAAATTTTGGAAGGCCAAAAAGCCAGATTTCTTCCGTTTTTAGCGCCGCAGGCGAAAATTTTGGAAATTTTGGATGGCCACAAGCCAGATTTCTTCCTTTTCTGGCGCCGCAGGCGAAAATTTTGAGAATTTTGGAAGGCCAGAAAGATAGAAATCCTTCATTTTTACCATTTTTCTTATAAAATCCGAAGAATTTTTAAAATTTTACAGGATGGTAAAAATAGGGCAAAAATATGGCAAATGACAAAATAGGGAAAAAATAGGGCGAAAAGGTCAAAAATAGGGAAAATCCTCTATAAATAGGGTAAAAGGGCCACCCTGAATTAATTACCTGATATCCCTCTTAATCCTCCGATATTTCTTCAATCAATCACGAGGATCATGTGATATCACTCTCACTTAATCCTGACAAAATTTGACAATCTTACTCTATACGAACCTTCAAAATTTTTTGAATACCCTACAGATCCCCTGATATCCGTTCAAATCCATTGTATCACTTTAAATCCACCTCTATCACTTCCAATCCCTCTTTTCAATTTTAATATATAAAAAATAAATATAAAAATTTAAAATCAAAGTTTAGAACCAATTATTTTTGAAAAAAATAATTGTTTAAATCTTAATTCGTAATCATGGATTGAACCAAACATCACAAAATATCAAAGCGAGTGAAGCGAGTCCTTTAAAAATTTAATGACAAAGTACCAGAAGTTTTTTCCATCAATAATAATTTTTCGTAATTTTTATTTATTACATATTTGCGTAATTAACAATTTTTCCCGATATTTTCGTAATCGTATTTCGTAACTCAAAAAACGCCGTAATTCGTAATTGTAATTCGTAATTACGACGCAACCCTGTTTCATAGTTAGAGATGTTGTGTAATAATTAATTCAGTAAATTCACATGAAATATACTTTTTTTCATATTTTTTTAAATTCACTTTTTTTAATGCATAATTATAACTAGAGACCGGATCGATACGATATATCGATGGAAAATATCGATATATCGATATCGATATTATCGATTATCGATATTATCGAACGAAAATTTTTTTGATTTTTTCGATATTTTTCGATAATCGATATTTTTCGATATCGATATTATCGAACGAAAAATTTTTCATATCAATATCGATATATCGAACGATAAATTGTTCGATATTTTTCGATATTACCTAATTTCTTTTAAATTTTAATATATTGGCATAAAGTTTTAGTATTTCTCTTTTACATTAAATAGTAGTAACCGGCTCCAAACCGGACTCCGGCCGGTTTTCCGGAGTCCTTGTCCCAAATCCGGGTTCCGGTCCGGCTCTAATTGCCTGAGTCATCAGTCTGTAGGTTCAGTCCCTTGTATATCAGTCCCCACAGTTTAATGGGATTTAAAATTAGTAAGAGGGATATGTATAAGGGGATTTGGAGGGATTAAGGCTGTCATCGGATTAAGGCTGTCATTGTCATTGGTACAACTTCCCCTGTCATTGGTACAACTTCCCCTGTCATTGGTACAACTTCCCCCGTCATTGGTACAACTTCCCCCGTCATTGGTACAACTTCCCCCGTCATTGGTACAACTTCCCCCGTCATTGGTACAACTTCCCCCGTCATTGGTACAACTTCCCCCGTCATTGGTACAACTTCCCCCGTCATTGGTACAACTTCCCCCGTCATTGGTACAACTTCCCCCGTCATTGGTACAACTTCCCCCGTCATTGGTACAACTTCCCCCGTCATTGGTACAACTTCCCCCGTCATTGGTACAACTTCCCCCGTCATTGGTACAACTTCCCCCGTCATTGGTACAACTTCCCCTGTCATTGGTACAACTTCCCCCGTCCGGAAAAAATATCGAAAAATATCGATGTTAAAAAACCGATATTTTTCGATAATCGATATTTTTCGATATCGATATCGATATTATCGAACGATCACTCGAGTCCGGTCTCTAATTATAACATTTAAAAATTACCAAATATTTTGTACTTTTTGCTTACAAGATTATTATGTAAATTCAATAGCTCTACCGAAATTAATTTAATGAAAATACGAAGGTCGAAACCTGCATTTTGAGGCAATTAAATTGTGGGAAATAATTTTTATTCTAATGGGGTGCTTATAATTTTCTGACAGAATGTAGGCTCTACATAGTTTTTTTGGCTGCCTGGCCCTCAGAAATTCACAAAAAAATTTTGGGGAAAAAATTTTTTTCAATAATGGCCCAGTCTTTTTCTAGGGAATAATCAGTTCACTTTTTTCTAAAATTTATGAAAAATCCCAAACTTTAGGTAAAAATATGAAAAAATATTGAAATAATTTGGAAAAAATGCCAAATATTGAAATAACTGGAAAATTGGCAAAATACATATTAAAATATAATGAAATGTAACTTTGTTTAAAATAATAATATCGAAAAACTAATGGCATATTTGGGGTAATAATGGCATATTTGGGATATATTAAATATATATATTTTTCCATATATTTTGGAAAAATATATATATTTAAATATAAATCCGAGCCCTAATTATAACATTTTGAAATATTACGAAATTCTCGTTTATGTTGATTTATTTAAACAAGGTTATCGAAGAGTTTATTTCCAGGAATCTTTTAAATTTTTAAAATATATTTCTGAACTCATATTCATATTAATTTTAACGAAATTCTTTTTAATTTCATTCTGCTTCTTTAAAAAATAGTCGTAGACAATTAATGTTATAACTGCGTGAACTAGAAGTATCTTAAATTAAAAAGTTTTCTGATACCTATTTAATTTAACTCATCTATTTCAGGACTTCGATTCGTACTTATTTTGGAAGTACAGTACTTTCAACCTTTTTAAGAACGTTCTTATAACTTGACGTTATCTTTATAACATTAAGTTTATCTATAAAGTCTCAAAAGTATCGCCTGTAGCGTAAAAATGAAGATTTATTTCTCTAGTTATTATTGGAGTTGGCCGGTATCGGGATTCCGAAATAAAATTGATATTGGTATTCTGGAATGATGATACTGATACCGCTACGACCTCGGTACCTGTATCGTGAATTGGGTTAATAAAACGTTACCGATTCGGGATCAGCATTGAAAAATCGGTGTCGGGATTCAAAAAACGGTTATAATACCGCCCCATATCGGTCGGGATCATGATACCGGCCAACTCGTTATTATGTATTATGTATGTACGTCATTATGTAATTTATTTTAAAATGATTTATTTACTAAAATTATGCTGTCATATGTCCGTACATAAAAGAGTAGACCATATTCTTCGCGATTGTATCGTAAAATGATTACCATAATATTAAATAATGCAAAAACAATTGAATAAGAAAAGTCGAGAGGGAAAATGATTTTCATTAATAGAATATTTTGTTTAGCTTGATAACTTTTGCTTAGACTGTAGTTTATTGTGGATTTGAAACTTTAAATTAAACTTAGGATTTAATAAATATTTTTTTAACATACAAATTTAATTTAATTTTTTGGTTCCGAAGAATTAAATAATAATCAGCTACAGCTATACATATCACCAAAAACAAGAAAAAGAAGTTTAGATATATAAATATTTGAGAATTATAAATAGTTGTTAGTGATAGATAAACCATTGGATGGCTAAAAGTGTCGGTATCCATTTGTGTTGTAATATAAATATAAACACCATAAATTAGATTTATTGTCCACTAAAATTTTGAAAAATGCTAAAGCTAAAAATAATTACCACAATAATTGTACAAATAACAGAAAATAATTTTCCTTGATTTTCATAAATTTTAACATAAACTGTAGCCAAAACACGCTCAATCATTATAGCAAAATGAAATAAAGGAGAGCCGAGATAGTAGAAATAGGCTGGCATTCGTATAAAATAAACTAACCAAACTTGAATTAAACATTCACATGGATCCGAATATGTAAACAAAACAATCTAAATTCATTTATAATAGAATAACTATCAAAAATTAAACAGACAAAATTCATAACAGATTCAATAATATGTGAAAGTACGTACATTGCATAAAGAAAAAGAACATTGCTGATTAGTATCTTTAAAATTTATAAAAATTAGATATCAAAAACTAGAATCGTTAGATGTGTCAAATAAGTACAGTAATGACAATAACATCGTCCCAGTCATTGCGAAAAATCTTTTCCCACTAATTGTAACAGAACGAAAGTTTGCTTATCTACTATTACCCTTAGTACTTTTTTTCTAAATTTATTTTTAAACATAATTTTATATTGGTTACACTTTCCTCAATATTTAACCAAAGGCTGAGATGCGCCAGACCAAAAAGTCTGAGCGGCATAACTGATAGAATAGGGTACTTTACTGTTTCGCCACAGTAAAGTACCGTATTCACATTGTTGTGTATGGGTAGAAATCCTTTTTATAACAAGTCATGCGACTTTTTAGCATTAATTTGCAAAGTAATAATTAAATTCAGCTTACAATTAGATTTGTATGTAATTTGACAGATTTTGTTTTGTAAGACCAAATAATACGTAGGAGTAGTAAAATAATAGTTTTACTTAAAATTATAAATAATCCTCTTACAATATTATATTTTAAATCGAGGACTGATGCTTCAGCGGCAATACATTGAGTTTGATTCATTTTTAAATCAAAAACTTTTTAAATGTTTCGTAAAAAATAATTATTATTAAAATTTAAACAAAATTAAGTTGAAATAAATATAAACAATTTTTTCTTAAATAATTACTAGGTATACATATACATACGTTTCTAAAATATTTATAATTTTTCTGACTTTTGTTTAACTACTAGTTTTGAGGAAAACATCTGCCCTTTAAATTTGAAATAGTAGTTGTTGAAAAAGAAGTAACCATAGAAAAGTAATTTTCAAATAAAAAATTCTAATATGCAATTATAGTAAGAGCAATTTCAGAGCAATTTCTGCGCACTAGACAATAAAAAAAAGCAAAACGCAACGCAAGGCCAAAAAACAACGCAAGAACGCAAGAGACGCGTGATATTGTGGTGATAGATTTAAGATTAAGTGGATTTAATATAACGGGGGATAGGAGGGGATAGGAGGGGATAGGAGGATAATATTAATTCGCATATGGGAATTATTTAAAGAACTAAGGAAGCTATCAGTGATGTGGAGGGGCATAAGAGACTAACGGGTGTCATAAAGTGATTTGGTGGATATCATAGAAAAAAGTTTAAAAAAACTTTTATTTAGAATTTTTTAGGCCAAATTAATGTAGATATCGACTTAGGGGGTAGGCTAACATTTATTGTTCTTATTTTCACGGCCTCTAATCCTATGTTATTTTCTTTAATTTCTTCCTCAATAATTCCTTCAATTGATTCTTCCGAATTTGAAATTAATACTAGTACTCGATTGCCATCCGGATTGCGAAAGGAGACAGATTCTATTTGTTCGGTTAATCTTGGAGTTAATTTACTTGAAATTTGTGAATCAATGCGAACTGAACCAGGTGGTATAAATCGGCTGGAAATTAAGTATATGTGTATAATTATAAAAATATTTTCGTGTCATGCTCCAGGAATGAGTAAAGAGTTTTTAATAGAGTAAATTATTTTATAGTGAGATAATCTTAATTGGACTGTATTTCTTGATCCTGAAATAAGGTCATCAACCGAATAATTTTAGGTTAAAGTGTAATTCCCAAAACAATAAAAAATTTTCACAAATCAGTTTAATTTTTTAATTTTTCATTAGCCAACTCATTTAAAAAATAAATTTTTATTAATCTCTACCTAAAATGAGCCATAGCATAAAACATTGGTTGTTTATAAAATTCATCCGCAGTGACATTTACAATAATCTAAGAGAATCAGGATCCTTAAAATTTTACTTATTAAATTTAAAATATTACAGGAGAATCAGCATAGTTTTTGACCCAATTTGGGCCGCCAATTAAATCAAGACCTTAAAAAATATTTTTTTTAAATTTATTTATGGCTTCTTCCCAAAGAATAAATATAAATACATAAATTCCAGTCAGTCCACCCAATAGCCCAATTTTGTAGTCCACGTAATATATCACGCCCGTACATCATTGCTCTAGTCCAATTACCCAAAGACACACCTTGATCAACTCCTGCCCATCCAGCACATGCCTAAAACGTAAAAATCTTAAATATGATTTAAAGAATTGATTTCTAATTATTTCAAAGTAACGGAAAATTTATTAAATTTATTCTTGAAATTATTTGTATAAAATTGTGGAATTAATGGAACTGAATTTATTAATTTCTGAATAACTATTAAAAACACTTAATATTTGATTTTGATCTCTATACAAAAAACAAAAACTCATATTTCTGTTTTTTTTGTATTTTGTTTCTAAATGTCATGGTATTTAATTATAAAAAATTTAAGAAAAATCTATAGCGAAATCACATAGATAAAGCTAAAAATATAGGTGGGCATATACTTTTGGAACAGAGTGTATTTTTTATGTAATTCTTCTCAGGAAGATTATTACAAAACAAACAATATTTGCCGGAAAATCGTTTAATTTTAACAAGAATTATTTAATTTCTTCTTTCGAGTCAGAAATTATTATTTCTTTGAAAATTTTTATAGTAAATAAAGGGAAAGGATATTTAATTAATCAGATACAAACTTCCGATCCCCATAAAAATTTGTCTGGATAAAGATTGTGAACTTCAGAAAGCACAGAATGAGGGCTAAACGAATACCAATGATAAGCTAAGCCTGCTATTATATTTGTTGAATTTTTATTTCCAAAAATCTGTAAAAATAAATTTTTTATTAAATTCAATTAAAATTCCAACTTTATGTGCTGCATCTAAAATATAATTTCTATTATCATCATGTGCCATTAATAATAAATTTTTTGCTGCTGGTGATGATTTTAATATTGGAGAAAGTATATCATTAGCAAAATCTCTTTAAAATCGTTTTTAATTTTCCAAAAAATATTTCCTTATTTACCTCTGATTTTCTGGACTAACCCACATTGCTTGAAACTTATAGTAAGGATCGAGCCCATATTGAGGTTCATTTTCTATAGTCATTCCCCAAAATGTAATATTTGCTAAATTGGAATATTCCTCAAAAAATCTGTTAAAATAAATTTTAGTTTCTTGGCTTGACCTCAATAACTATAAATCACCTCGACAATCTCCTAAATTATTCCCGGGCTTAAATTTTTACAACTAATAAAACAGTGCTTTCACATGTTGATTATAGTTCTAATCACATGTCTAAGCCGCAAGAGGAAATGAAATTTTATGTTACTTGAGATTGATTAAAATTAGCAAAAATAAGTTTACCTTCTAAGATAATGAGTATAAGTATGATAAAAAGGGCCATCTAATTTTCCTCTGAAAATTAAAAAATAAACAATGATGCTTAACAAAACCTTAGACTTCCACCCCCTGGCATTTTTCTAGAAGTTTTCATCCAAGCAGGTGCTGACCACGAAGTAGCAACTAAGTTAAGCGGTGATCCAGCAAGTAGATTGGCAGTTAAAATGTGAGGTATCTTAAATTGAAAGTAAGATCTAGATCAGTAATCAATCCTTCAACTTTCTATTTTCTGTAATAACTTGATATAAATTTTTACTTGCCTTCATATGCAAATCTTCTTCAGCTAACGCAAAAGTTTTGAGTTTAAAATCGTTATCTGTATCACAATAGGAATACACTCTAGAAGAGAAATCGCAACTAGATATCGGCACTCTCCCAACAGAGTATCTAATACCTTTTTTTAAATTTTTACAGAAAATATAGGTGGACATCAATATAAGATACAACCTCGGGTCCGAAAAATCATAGAGTATAATGAAATATCGCTTAGATAGCTCTCCCCACCAGATAACTAATCAATCGATTAAAAATACATACCTATATCAAGTAATGATATCTAATATTGGGTGTATCTTATATGAAGGTCATACTTTTAGTTAAACTTTTACCAATATTTTTATCAAAATATGTTCTAAGCAGTTGCATTCTTGTTTTCCTGCTAAGCAAGTTTAAATTATAACCGACAGCATCGGTAAATGCACCTCCAAATCCAAGAATTTTTTGATATTGCTGAGAAGCGTTAATTCGAATTTTTACTTAAAATTTTATTTAACTTAATTTAATTTTATTAGTAAAATAGAAAAGATAAAAATTTATTCACTCCTGGATAAAGATCGCAGACTCTGGGAACTGATCTAATTATCTAAGAGAACCAATAAATTTTTTGGTTTGGCCATAGATCATTCATTAAATTCCGATATGAGACAACGTGGAGATAATAGATGGATTTAACTTAATTCCGAATTTATGTAGTATTATATTTAGGTATACATATATCACCTGAATTCTCCATTTCTAATTTAATTCCATTATTCTTTCTTGTTATAATTTTTAATTCTTTTTTATTTAAACGTTGTTTTATAGGATCTGTTTGATAAATAAAAGCATTATCTCCAGTAAATTTTCCAATTTCCTCAGGTTGATCACAATGAATGCTGTTGCATACACAAACAAAAGAATCGGCAGAAAAATGGCGTTTAAGGCATTTTTGGGTATTTTCTATTGAATTTTTTGAAACAAAAATATTTTTAGTTTTATTCCATTTAAGTTGTTCAAATTTTTCTTCAATTGGAATTTCTTGTGGAAATATTCCATCATTTATTTGAGCATTTAATTGTATTAGAAGGCAAATGAGTGTAATTATTAATGTGATTATCATTGACTTTCGTCTTTAAAAATTAAATTAATGGGGGAAAAATAGAACAAGACCATTATGGCTGGTTTCGGATAATCTTTCTGGATTACGAGTCTAACTTAAGACATCGTTTTTTGTCTGATTGTTGAGTGCAGTCTCTATCACTCTAAACACTCTAATCTAACCCCATTATTCTAAAAAGCTGGAATTTTTTATGTCTACAGGATCCAGACATCCGCAATAACTCATCCGCATACATAAAATTTCATTAAAATTTTGTGTAAAATAATAATTATTTGTTTAAGTAAAATGAATTGAGAATGGTAATTTTATGCCTCAATGTAATGCAGGTTAAGATAGGTGTGAGGTGTAATCATTTATAATTTCTAAAAGTGGTTACTAGAATGTTTCTTTTTTTGCTATTTCAGATAACTAAATGACTTGAAATTTTAAAATTAAGGAAATAAAATTATCGGAACATTTTTATTAATGATAAAGACAGAAAAAAGGAATAATAATTATTTAAGTAAAATTTGGAAACAAAAAAGCCACATTAGTAGAGCTGTGAATTTTATTGCCGAAATATGCACGAAAATATGTAAGAAATCCAAAATATCCACGCTAATATAATTAACTCAAGTAAACTGCCTGCGGCGGTGAAAAAGGAAGAAATCTGGCTTCTTGGCCTTCTAAAATTCTCAAAATTTTCGCCTGCGACGCTGAAAAGGGAAGAAATCTGGCTTAAGGACGTCCAAAATTTTCAAAATTTTCGCATGCGGGGCTGAAAAAAAAACAAGGTGGCTTTCTTAGCCTTCCAAATTTTTGCGTATCGTGCTAAAAAAGACTAAAGTTGACTTCTCCATCCAAAATTCGAAAAGTTTTGGCTATGGTGGATGGATTACGAGTAATAAGAATGAATCTTTGGGATTAACAGAGATATAGAGGGATTGTGAGGTGTACATTGGTTTGTGAAGTTTAAATCGGCCTAAGTTCAATTCCGGATCATTAAAAGATATATGATGTCTATCGAAAATACTAAAAGGAGTAAACCATCGGATTCAACTCCGATGAGTAGAGCTCTGAAAGAGAATTGTTTGGGCTAAAAAGTGACTATAAAAATATTAAAAAATATAAGAGATAAAAAAAGTTATGGTAAAATGAATAGTGCCCATTAACACACGGATAAGCGATCCAACCATTTTTAGATTGACGCTAATGAAATTTAATTTTCGTTTCATTTTTGTTTAATTAGCCGTTATTTATTTTATTTTTGTAATTGAAGTAAATATTATCCCCTCAACAAAACTTGCATGTCTTTAAATATCTCTTTCAAATTTTATTTAGAAAATTTGTTTGTTTAGCCAAATCTAAAACATCAAAATCAAATACGTTTTACATAGCCATCGAAAAACTGCTTGGGAGAGATTTTTTGAAAGTGATATTTCAATTTTTGCCAACAAATTTTGTGGAAGGACAATTTTGGGTCGTGCCCAATAAGCAAAAAAATTTTTTTTACAAAATTCTTAAATTTTACAAATTTTTTCCAAAATTTTTAAATTTTCCAAACTAAATTGTCACTTTTTGGCAGGATTTTAGGCAATTTTCGCGATATTTTCCCCAAAAACCTCAAAATATGCGGAAAAATATGCATTTATGCACCAAAGTATAAAATATGCAAAAATATGCATTATATGCAAATAGAAACATCCTCTAAAGTTTTCAAACCAAGCTAAAACAGTGTTTTTTGGGGTAGGGGACGATTCAGTATCGCCTATTCAGTATCGCCGATTCAGTATCGCCGATTCAGTATTGGCCGATTCAGTATTTGGGCTTTTTGGCCTTAACTATTTGCTCGATCAATATTGTAGGAATTTTTATATATGATTTGATAGGCCTCGGGGTACTGCATCTTTTTCATAATTGGACTGACCTGATCTGATCACTCCACAAAAAGTTATCACTGATAAACGACGTCACAGGCATAAAAAATCGGTTTTCACGCTGTAACTTTTTTCGTGATCATCAGATCAGATCGGGCCAATTATGAAAAAGATGTCGAATCTCGAGACCTTTCGAATGATATGAGAATCATTCAAATCGGTCGAATATCAGGAAGGTTATGGTCATATACTGAATCGGCGGATACTGAATCGGCGATACTGAATCGTCCTTTACCGGTTTTTTGTGCTTTATACATGATTCCAAGTTTGCAAAAAAATATGTATTTGCATAAAAATCACAGCTCTACACATTCCTTAATCAAAAATAAAAAATTTAAATAAATTCGAAAATATTAAATTTAAAAATTTAATTTATATATACATATTTATTTTTCCTTTTTGTTTATAAAAGTTAGAACGAATAAAAAAAAAATAAATATTAAATTTCCTTCTCTATCAATGAATCATTTGGATAAATATAGAGTTTTTTAAATTTATAGAGATTTTTTAAATTTAAAAATAAAATTTAAATTAATAATTGGAATTTTGTATTTTTGTTAATGTTATTTAGTGTATTAAAAAATCCTAATATTTCTTCTAAATTTCTAAAAATATTGATTTCAATCATATTTTGTAGAAGATAATCTTCTCTATCGAATGATATAAAAATTGTAAAAAAAAAGATTAATATTATTTAAGTTATGTATGTTTTGTGTATTTTTATATACACAGAAAATTACCAAATAAAAAACAATCAAAATAATTTACCTTTATTTTATTACTCTAATTAATTTAATATATTTCAATTGTATTTAATATTTTTGTATGTTATACAAATAAATTAAAATTAAAGGGATAAAATGTAATGGGAAAAGAACATGTTTGCGACCAACGTAAAACTTGTTCCCTTGCTTACTAATATGTATTTTTGTATAAATTTATTCTAATTTATTAGTGATTTTGTAAATTATCTTTTAACTTCTTTATTTATATTGCATATTAATTAAAATTATAATCCTGAAATAATTATTGTTGGAGTAAAATTCTCAAAGAGATCTAACAAAAAGTTAAAGTTATAAATAAGCAGTGGCAAAAATTTTCAAAATATACATAGGTACTACAAAATAAAATTTTATTCACACTTATATCCCTTATACTTTACTCGCAAATGAGTACTTTTTAGTACCGCAGTCAAAAAATTTTTGATTTAATGAATCATAAGACAGAAATATGTACATCTTTGTAACAACCACATACATATATGAAAAAATAAATTAAACTTTTAAAGAAATGGTGGAAAATATTACCGAAAATTACCGATTTTTCAGAAAAGACCTATTTAATAAATGGCTACCCGACACTTGAGGTACATATTTATTTCAAAGGCTATTTGAGGTACATATAGCCTTTGAAATACATATAGCCGGCATTTAAAATAAATAATTGCACTTTTTATTAATACATATTTTAGTAAATAATAAAATATTTCAAAATATTTAAAACTAATCATATGAAAGGAGTCAATTGCGAAAAATTCAAATAAATTTTTTTATCACGCCGATTGACAAAATAAATAGAATTAAAGTACAATTTCAAAATACTGACATTCGGACTAATCATATGAATTTTTCTTTAAATATAAAGTGCAACTATTTATTTTCGAATGTCTTATAAATTTAAAAATAAATAATGACATTATTTGAATCAAGACTATATTGTCAACAAAATTTGCCGCCTCGATTAATTAAGTGATTTTGTCTATCTTTTAAATCGAAAATCAAAACAATAAAACATTCAAAATAATTTTTTGATGCTTCTAAAGAAGTCTATTTAAAAATAGACTTCTTTTACATAAAATATATCATGAAAACTTTAATTTTGAATTGCAGTCAAGAAAATTTAGAGCTACCTGCATAACTATTAGCAGATTTTCCAGGAATAATCCAATATCATGATAAGCCAAAGATCCTGAAAACATTAAAAGTAATATAAAAATCAATTCCAAACGTCCGAACGCCAAAATGTCATGGCGCACATCCCTACCAACCCTCACGCTATTTAAGTCTCGCAGTGGTCTCCAAAAGATCTTCCTTATTAAACACTATTTATAAAATGAAATTGAGAGTGGTTTATTACACAAAATTTCAGATGATTAAATTTAATTTGATCACTCTCTTATATATAATTATTTTATTGAATATTCATTGCGTCTGCAAACCAATTAGTGTTGAGTTAAAAATCAAAGATGATTGGGAAGAAAAAAGAGAATTTATTTATTTAAAAGATGTTCAACTGAAGGAGCGTTTTGTTGTGAAAACGATCGAAAAGCATAACAATAGATATTTTGGTTCTAATTACAATATGGAGGGATTTATACGTTTGGCTGAATTGGATCTTGCTACAAATACTTTTAATAATGTTGAATTAAATGTTGCAAGACTTGATCAAAATTATTTATTAAA